GACACACACACACACGCACACACACACACTGAGTAGAACAAATACATAGAAACTTGCTTTACACTGAAGAAAATAATTTTTTTTTTTTCTTAGTAAAAACAACATTGAAATTTACTGATAGGAAATATTGTTTTTTGTTTCAGTATAAAGTAAACAAACTACAATAACAAATTACTGAAAGTTGATGAAATAAGTAAATGGTTCTTTGTTTGAATATAAAGTAGGAGAGACGGAGAGAAAGGAACAGACGAAGGAAAAGAGAAAACAATAATGAAAGAGGTGGTGAGGCTTGGCCAAGGAAACCGGACAAAGAAAGTTATTCCATTAAGTACACAACAACGAGAGAGAGAGAGAGAGAGAGAGAGAGAGAGAGAGAGAGAGAGAGAATATAGTGGTGGTGGTGGTAACATCACCAGGCCTCTCGCTCACCTGTATACTACTCCTTCTCCTCTTCACTCTCTCTCTCTCTCTCTCCCGCTCTCACTCTCTCCTCAAGCCTCTTTCTCTCTCCCTCCGTCCCCTCCCTCATCTCTCTCTCCTCACTTGTTGCTGCTCCAGACTCGGCTGCCCTCCCTCAATCTCCCACCCCAGTCACCCTTCCTCTCCTCCCTCACCTTCTCCCCCCCACAATCATTCATACACTCCCTCACCCACCCATCCTACTCTCTTTCCTCTCTCCCCTCCCTCTCCACCACCCTTCCCACTGTCACTCACTCTCTCCCATCCTCTCCCCAGACCACTGCTGTAGATGCTGTCGTTAAAACAACAACCACACCCCGATTTAACGAGCGAGCATGCCCCAGTGTCAAGGAATAGTCCGAGAAGACCGGACAACTCGCCAACTGCACTGGCTAACCAGTACCCCGGAACACGATCCGCAAATCGACTGACATCCAGGTCCCCACTTACTGCTGGGTACACAGAGGCAAATGGTGTATAGAAACTTGCCCATAGTTTCACCCTGCCTGGGGATCGGACCCGGGTCCGCTCGCTTGCGAGGCAAGTATGCCGACCATTACACTACAGGTCGCCACACACACACACACACGCACACGCACACGCACACACACACACACACACACACACAAGCCTTTCAGAGTCTAAGTCATCATCTCTAACGTGTTTTAAGATTTCTCATAACATCGTCGTTGTTTTTGTCCAAAGTTCTTTATGTATATTGAATGTTAAACGACCTGTCTTGGTGCTTTATACTGAACTCGCTTTGGTACTCATGTGTGAGGAACGAATCCATGAACGAGTACATGAACGAGTATATACATTGAAAGAGGTGTTGGATGGTTTAAGAACGAGCTGGAGTGACACATGAAGGAGAGAAATTATTGATTTTTTCATGTTAGACGAATGTGTATGTTATGATACCTCCCGTCCTCTCTCTCCTGAACGACCTGGTATGGAACAAAGGCCAAGGGCTCATTCCTTCTTCCATATTCATTCTACCTTCTTTCTTTCTTCTTTCTTCCTTCTTCCTTCTTCCTTCTCGTATGTTTTAATATGAACGAACGAACCAATAAATCGTTTACTGTTCAGGAAGTACGAGTTGACCTGAAACACGAATGAAATAAAGCGAGCGAGCGAGCGATCGTATCCCTTCTGAAATGAACGAGGTGGTCTGAAACACGGAGGAGGTGAGGCGAGCGAGCGAACGAACGATCGTTTCCCGTTGAGGTGCAGGAGCCGGGTTGCTTAATCAATCTCAATTCAACTCAACTCGAGGGCTTGGTGACTTGGAATACCGAGTGGCGCACAAGAGTTGTTTAATTAGTAAACCTTCTGGCCTGAGAGCAAGTCGATCCCCATTAGATGGCTCGCCCCGACTCCCGTTTTCTGTGTGACATCCAGCCGCCATTCCTCCCACCTGTTTTCTTTGCCACCGATGCACCCGCTTCTTATTGTCCCTACCATTATGTTGTTCACTCCTACGTTATCTGTACCACCCATCTATTATTTTCTTTGTCAACTGGTTTCTTGTGTCGCCTACCTTCCGTTTTCTCTGTCGCCGACCTTTCGTTTTCTGTGTAGCCTACCTTCCGTTTTCTATGACCTCCACCAATTGTTTTCTATACCACAAACTCCCGTCACTTATATTCAACATCCAACAACTTCTTTTTTTTCTGTGCCATCTAGTTATTCATTTCCCATTCTCAAGGCGTCTCTGCCAAAACAAGTTACTATAAGTGTGTTGTGAAAATGTCTTGGTGTTCAGAGGGTTACTGCCTGATGGGGGTCAACGTTCCCAACACTTTCGTAATGTTGCTTTCTGTAAGAGGGTCAGGGGATCTTAGGGGTCTGGGGTGGGGTTAAGGGGATCTCAGGGGTTAAGGGGATCTCAGGGGTTAAGGGATCTCAGGGTCTAAGGGCCTCCAGGGAGGGTAGGTTAAGGATCTCAGGGGTCTGGGGTGGGGTTAAGGGATCTCAGGGCTGGGGTGGGGTTAAGGATCTCAGGGTTTAGGGGGGTCTTGAGTGTTCGGGTTGGGGTTAAGGGAATCTCTGGGATCTGGAGTGGGGTTAAGTGGGTGTCCTGGGGTCGGGGTGGGGTTAAGGGGGTTTTGGGGGGATCGGGGTGTGGTTTAAGAGGTTAAGGAGGTATTGGGGGTTAGATTAAGGGTTCACGGGGTCTCAGGGATCAAATAAATGAGTGACAGGGGTGCAGGGGTCAAGTTAGGTAGTAAAAATAGATCCTAAACCCACACAGTTCATGGCTATCAGTAGTAGTGGGGATGGTGAAGTAATTTTCCACTTACGTGTTCTATATCCACATAAAGATTTCCTCCCCCTCTCCAGCTTATTCACCTTAAGATTAAACATTTGAACACTCAGGTAATATTTTGGTATTTAGTCATCAGGTCAAATAATCTGGGTGGCTAATCTTCACATAATTCGAATGAGGTTCCAATAAGAATCAGAAAAAAAACATTAATAATCTGTATGAAAATATCTCAGCAGAAAACATGTTAAAACACAACTTTTATTACCTGTTTTTTTTACAAAGTCAAAATATTAACTCACCAAATTCCGCGTCACTAACAGATTCATGGCCTTATATACCCTTTAACTTCCAAATTTCATGTCATTATGACCTTGCGAAAGTGGTTTTCAGAGAGAGGGGAGAGAAGGAGGGAGAGGGAAGGGTCAGGAGGAGATAGGAGGTAGGTGGTCAGGAGGAGGGTCATGTGAGGAGAGGAGGGAGGAAAGGAGGGAGGTGGCTAGGAGAACAGGAGGAAGGATGTGGTTAGGAGTAGGGAGGCAGTCAGAAGATCAAGTGATGTGGTCAGGAGGAGGATTAGGAAGAACAAGGGTGTAAGAGGGTTAGGTGAGGAGGTCAGGAAGAGGATGAGGAAGAGGGAGGTGGTTAGGAGAACAGGAAGAGGGTCAAGTGAGGAGGTCAGGAGGAGGGAGGTGGTCAGGAAAACAGGAAGAGGGTCGGGTGAAGAGGCCAGGAGGGAGGATCAGGTAATGAGGTCATGAGGGGGGTCAGGAAAATGGTCAGGAGGATGAAGAGGAGGAGAGAGAGGTTTAGATGGGAGCGCATGAGTCAGACGTCTCATGTTTACACAGTTTTCAAGACACAAGCATTCATGACATAGTTCCAACCTCCTCCGAATTTTTACTCACCGTTGAACTTTGGGTCAGGATTCTCAAAGGTTTTAGAATACATTATTTGTTTTATCTCCCGTAACTAAATATTTACGTGAAAATATATCCCAGTTTTAAGCGAATTTAAATCTCTCTCTCTCTCTCTCTCTCTCTCTCTCTCTCTCTCTCTCTCTCTCCAAACACATGAAATTACAGGTACAGATATAAAGTAAAAACACAGGTACACAGACAGGTATAAAGTACAGACACAGGTACAGACACAGGTACACACACAGGTATAAAGTACAGACACAGGTACAGACACAGTTATAAGGTACAGACACAGGTATAAAGTATAGGTTACACTAATGCCGTCATCTCTAAAGCCGTGCGTTATACCTGCCTGCTTCTAAACGTGTTATTAGATAAACCTGCTTCATTCGCATTGCAAAACAACCATTAGTTTCTGATTGCGAATGTGGAGGAGGGAAGGAGAGGATGAGAGCGGAAGGGAGAGGGAGGAGAGGGAGGAGAAGGACAGAGGGAGAGTGTATAGGGAGAAATAAGCGGAGGGAGAGGGATGAATAGCAGATAAAGGGAGAATATAGGGAGAGAAATAGAAAGGGGGGAGAGGGTAAAGGGGTGAGAGATGTAAGGGAGAGTGAGAGATAAGGTAAAGGTAGAGGAGTGAAAGAAGTGAAAGGTAGAGTGCAAGTGAGAGAAAAGAATAGGGAGAGTATGGAGGGGTAGAGAGAGAGAGAGAGAGAGAGAGAGAGAGAGAGAGAGGAAAAAAAGGTGAGAAATAATCAGATATATGGATAATGTTTCCTTGTGGGTTTCTCAACCTCAATATATTTCCTGCAGGTGTAATATTTCCTCACTCTCTCCACACATACACACAAACACACACACACACACACACACACACACACACACACACACACACACACACACAGACAGCTGTTTTTTGTTTTTATCTTATATATTAACGAGGCAGGAGTAGAACATTCACCTGGAGTAACTGTATAAATAATTAATTAGGGTTTTTTCACATAAGTATTTAGTACAGTTGTTAAATTTACTTTGTATATTTTTCTCTCGTTGGGTTTCATAGAGATGTTACAAAATGCTGTACTAATTCTGTATTTTACATGTATTCTGTATGTATCTGTATTTTTATCTATACCACTACCTGTACCTGTATTTATATTAGACGCCATACCTTTACCCAAATTAACACCTGTAAATCTGTCTATATATATTTCTCTATACTTCTACAGACCTTTACAGCAACACAGAGGTTATACATATACCTTTACGTACACCTGTAACAATCCCTTGTTAATTACCAACACTTCAAGATTACCTGAGATCCAATGCTTATGCTTCTCTCTCATCTCCCTCAGCTCTGTCCAACCTTGGTGTGGTGTACAGCGAACAGGGACGTCTGCAAGAAGCTGAGACTGCCTACCGCAGCGCCCTCCACCACGCCCCTACCATGGCTGACACTCACTTCAACCTGTAAGTCGAGCCAATTAGTTTTGTGAATAAAATTTAGACAGATAGACAGAGAGACAGTAAATCGCCATACAAGTTTACATCGATTCATCATGTATATAACCAATGCAGGTATACTGTACAGTGTCCATAAGAAGTAGAAGCATACAATCTATTGGTCTGTATTTTAAGCGAATCCAGATCGATTGTCAGTTTGTAAGTAAATATTAAAGTGGACGTGTTCAGTCAATATCAGACACGGACAAGTAAACAGACTGGTAGCTGAGGTGTGTGTGTGTGTGTGTGTGTAGAGAGTGAGACAGTCTAGGTACGGTACAAAATCACTTACCTACACACGGGGGACCAGTTACATGATTTATTACAAAAACATTGAGATTTACTCTGATTTACAGCTGCCAATGCCTTAGTATATATTGATGATATTGAATACAGGCAAAAAAAAAAAAGAGACTATTTTACGAGTTTGCTGATGATGAGTAATGGTAGTACAGCATGTAAGGATGTGTGTGAACACGTATATAGCGTACACAGGACACGGTATAACCCGACTCAAGTGAAAATATACTGAGAGCCAGACCCGAGCATGGCAGTTGTCACCTCTCCCTTAAAAAAAGTATCTTGCTAGCCAACACTGGTGAACGCGCTGGGAGGTAAACATCCAATGGTTGAATGTTTTGTCGATATGTTCATTGGCAGCGTTCGTGTAAATAATCCGGCTTGCACTTAGAAACACATATAGCTTCACAATATTTACAGACTCTGACCGATAGTGTGGACATATTGTGGTTATCTTTAATGATGGAAGAATTCGGCTTCTGATTTAACCCTTCCTTCCAGATTACGATGGTTAAACTATTGATTAAACTAAGGAATTGACTCACTGGTAAATACTCTGATGAGAATTTATAAAAAACGACTAAAACAATTCACACGATAGATTATTAAACTAATTCCCAGACGCCATTACTAACCCTCGTCTTTCTTACAGTGGGCTCCTGCTGGCGTCCACGGGCAGGTCGGAGGCGGCGGTGGAGAGTTACCGGGCGGCGCTGTGGAGTCGGCCGTGGCTCGCTCAGGCTCACCTCGGCCTGGCCGCCGCCCTTCAGCAGCTCGGCCGAGACGCTGACGCCATCAAGGTCAGCACTGTCAGATGAGGGAGAGTGAGAGAGAGGAGAGGGAGGGAGGGAGGGAGGGAGGGGTGTGAGGAAGGAGGGGGAGCAGAGGGAGGGATAATAAGAGAAGGGAAGGAGCCATTAACAGGTGTAGCAGGAGCCATTAACAGGTGTAGCAGGAGCCATTAACAGGAGCCAGTAACAGGTGTAGTAGGTAGCAGCCATTAACAGGTGTAGCAGGAGCCATTAACAGGTGTTAGCAGGTGTAGCAGGAGCCATTACAGGTGTAGCAGGAGCCATTAACAGGTGTAGTAGGAGCCATTAGAGCAGGTGTAGCAGCCACAGGTGTAGCAGGAGCCATTAACAGGTGTAGCAGGAGCCAACAGGTGTAGCAGGAGCCATTAGCAGGTGCCATTAGCAGGTGTAGCTCATTAACAGGTGTAGCAGGAGCCATTAACAGGTGTAGCAGGAGCCATTAACAGGTGTAGTTAACAGGGCTATTAACAGGTGTAGCAGGAGCCATTAACAGGCAGGCCAGGTGCAGGAGCCATTAACAGGTGTAGCAGGAGCCATTAGCAGGTGTAGCAGGAGCCATTAACAGGGCCATTAGCAGGTGTAGCAGGAGCCATTAACAGGTGTAGCAGGAGCCATTAACAGGTGTAGTAGGAGCCATCAACAGGTGTGGAGCCATTAACAGGTGTGGCAGGAGCCATTAACAGGTGTAGTAGGAGCCATTAACAGGTGTAGCAGGAGGCAGCCATTAACAGGTGTAGCAGGAGCCATTAACAGGTGCTTGCCTATGCAGGGCCATTAACAGGTGTAGTAGAGTGTAGCAGGAGCCATTAACAGGTGTAGCAGGAGCCACACACAGGTGTAGCAGGAGCCATTAAACAGGTGTAGCAGGAGCCATTAACAGGTGTAGCAGGAGCCATTAACAGGTGTAGCAGGAGCCATTAACAGGTGTAGTAGGAGCCACCACCATTAGCAGGGAGCCATTAACAGGTGTGTAGCAGTTTGTAACAGGTGTAGGAGCCATTAACAGGTGTAGCAGGAGCCATTAACAGGTGTAGCAGGAGCCATTAACAGGTGTAGCAGGAGCATTAACAGGTGTAGGTGTAGCAGGAGCCATTAACATTGCAGGGTGGCAGGTGTAGCAGGAGCCATTAACCTAACAGGTGTAGCAGGAGCCATTAACAGGAGCCATTAACAGAGCTAGCAGGGCCATTAACAGGTGTAGTAGGAGCCATTAACAGGTGTAGCAGGAGCCATTAACAGGTGTAGCAGGAGCCATTAACAGGTGTAGCAGGAGCCATTAACAGGTGTAGCAGGAGCCATTAACAGGTGTAGCAGGAGCCATTAACAGGTGTAGCAGGAGCCATTAACAGGTGTAGTAGGAGCCATTAGCAGGTGTAGCAGGAGCCATTAACAGGTGTAGCAGGAGCCATTAACAGGTGTAACAGGAACCATTAAAAGGTGTAGCAAAAGCCATTAAAAGTGTAGCAGGGGCCATTAACAGGTGTAGGAGGAGCCATTGACAGGTGTAACAGGAGTCACTAACAAATGTTTTGAACGGCAGGTGTTGGAGACGTGCCGGGGAACAGGGTCGGCACCTGCCAGGGACAGCCTGAGCCACACCTGGGCGGTCATCACCTGCAGGCAGAGGCTGGCCCGGGCGCACATCCTGGCGGGCCGCCCTCATACCGCGCTGGAAGAGGTGGCGCACGCCCTCACGCACGCCCCAGACGGCTACGGCACGCACGCCCTTCACACCCTGGCGGCCGAGGCTCACCTAGAGGCTGGAGAGCATGCCGAGGCCCAGGCCGCCCTATCTCGCGCCCTGGCCGCCCACCCCCACCACGTGCCCGCCCACCTCACCTTCTCCAGGATGCTGCAGGCTAATGTAAGTTCCTTCTCTTACTAATGGATCATGCGGGAGTTGGCAGTGTTAGGAGGTACACACACACACACACACACACACACACACACACACTCAGAGACCGTAATTACATATAGAATAATCAAATAATACACTCAATATAATCGAGTTTTCATACAGCAAAATTAATTCATAGTTTCGCATTTCTGTATAAATTATCACGTGATTTTTATGCTAATTGGATTAAACGGCAGGTGTGGATAATGCTGCTTTTATTATGTATCTCGTCAAATGGATCCACTAATGGGGCGGAGGTAATTAAACATAATTAATTGGCCTTATATGATAGAATATTATATTAATAACGTGAGGAACAAAGCTACATGGAAACAGTTCATTAACATATAATTCACACCTGGTGTTACCTGACTGTTGGAGGTGGCTGCTCAGATGGGCCCCAGTTTTAAAGGGTCCTAGTCTTAAGGACCCCAGTTTTAAAGGATTCCAGTTTTAAGGGATCCCAGTTTAAAGGGCCCCATTTTAAAGGATTCCAGTTTTAAGGGATCCCAGTTTAAAGGGCCCCATTTTAAAGGATTCCAGTTTTAAGGGACCCCAGTTTAAAGGGCCCCATTTTAAAGGATTCCAGTTTTAAGGGGGCTCAGTTTTAAAGGCTCCAGTTTTAAATGGTTCAGTTTTAAAGGACCTAGTTTTAAAGGGTTCCTAGTTTAAAGGGCCCCATTTTAAAGGATTCCAGTTTTAAGGGGGCCCAGTTTTAAAGGCCCCAGTTTTAAATGGTTTAGTTTTAAAGGGCCCAGTTTTAAAGGACCCAGTTTTAAAGGGTTCCCAGTCCTAAAGGGCCTCCAGACTTAACTCTTTCACTTCTCATTTTGTTTTCATGGCTGGTTCCTTAAAAAAAAAAGCCTCTGTTATGACTTCCGGGAGTTGTAATTTTCGTTAGACTTTAGTGGGTCTTTTATCAGTATTGCAATTACCTTCGTTCACCACTGTAACACCTTCTTAGTTAGCTCACGACCTGATAACTTTCCTCGGTAGAAAATGAGAAGATAGTCGCCTGGGTTGAAACTGTACTCCAGCCATTGTCTTTCTCTCACTTTCTTTCGTTCAAACTTTCTTTCGTTCAAACTTTCTTTCTCAAAACCAGAAAATTGCAAGATGGTTTTTAAATAGTTGTTTTGTTTCGAACTTTAGGTCACCACAGATGAGAGAGTAGAGATTGATTTTATATTGCGGTGGAAATGAAGTGAGACTCTACCTTAACTAGATAATACACACCCATCACTATAGTATCACAAGAAATACTAACATAAGACTCTTTGAGAATCCCCAACCCTGAGCCACCAAGTTAGTAATGATAAAAACCGACATTCCCTTACCCTCTATATCACCCACCTTCCACAAGCTGCTGGCCCAGTCTATAAGGTTCCGTAATAGGAAAACAATTATTTAGGTGGAGTAAACAAGAGCTCTCGAAAAGCCGGCAAGAAGCAGTTGGCAGTGAGGTGGGTGTTGACCAGTACGTACGTGTGTGTGTGTGTGTGTGTGTGTGTCGGTCAGGGTTGAGAAATTATGGAGTATCAGATCCCCCAAAATTGTACGTTTAAATAGCATTCTAAAGGCTAGATCTTATATATATATATATATATATCTAACCAAGACATCTTACTGTCACTTGTTTTTTAATGTTTTTTTGTGGTAAGTCAGCTTCATGTAGACGGGTTCTGGGCCTGTGAGAGTTAATCAATTTGAGGAGCTGGTGAAGTGAGCTGACTGGAGCGAGGGAGAAAACTAATCTCTTTGGGGTCATTAGGTCAGGAAAAAACATACATACTGTAGAGCTGCTGTGACATCTAGAACCTACTTGTGAGTTATGGAAGTAGCACGACATATCTGTATTTTTAAAGATTTGTTGTTTCCAAAAATTTATTCCTCTATTAGTAAAGGAATAAGTACGTACACAAATAACTTTCACCAAGATGTAATAAATTTCGATCCAGTGTTTCGAAAATTGGTCGACAGTCTCGTGTGGTATCGCTAAAAAGATTACTTTAGGCTGTAATCGAGCGAGGGGCCAGCAGGCGGTGTTGGTTAGTTTCCTTTTTTTTTCTAAAATGTGACCATGACTTCTGACCTTAAGACTCGGAAAACCTAGCAGGTGTGGAGGAAGTGTGGGGGATGTCGTAGTGAATTATTACAGTTCTCGAGGTATGCTGCGGAAATACTACACTATCATACTTGCATAGTAACCCACAGACAGCACTCACGTGGCCCCATCGGCATGAATAATAATCCTGGATAAGCCAAATGCTGAATCAGGAACAATGATTATGGTGATGAGGGCTGACATAGTACGAAGCTAAATAATTATTTTTTTTTACCCCTGAAAATCAAAATAGTATATTGTAGTTCACTCAAAATGTTGGAAAATAAATGTAAACAATAATCTGATCGTTTATCACTAGTATAAACATCTATAACAGCAAACGGATCCTTAGTCATTGTGGTGACCGTAACCCGCCACACTCCAGGCTCTCGGATAACGTTAATCCAGGCTGGGGATGGATCACCAGGGAGCGGAATAAGAGGATCTTGGCTAAGGGGTAGTGGTGGGCAGGCGTAGATAATGGAGGTGTTGAGAGGCGAGCGAAGCTGCTATTGTGCGCTAGGGGCCCCAACACCTTTGATTAGGGCCCTGGTCAAAGGCTAACATGGACAGCGGGCCCCAATCATCGCTCTGACGACGACGTCCTTTGAAGTCTAATTGCTGCCAGCGATATCAGTCCTTTGGCCAGACGCAGAGTAAACAGGACGCTGGTACCGCCCGCCTCACTGCCAGATGAGAAGTCTGGCTCTCGCAGCCTGGCTTAGATGGCAAGGGGAAAAAGTATACTTGTTTGTTTGTGGAACGTGTCAGAGCTGTCTCACCAACCCTCGGTGGGAATATCCGCGTGTTTTTACATATTTTATTTTAACCCTGGAATGTTTAATGTAGTATCTACACTTATAATTAATATAAGATTATATAGGCTGACTATCGAGTGAACATGTTGCCATTATCTCCCGTTGAGTAAAAACTGATCTTTTCAAGCTATTATATATATATATATATATATATATATATATATATATATATATATATATATATATATATATATATATATATATATATATATATATATATATATATGCTGATAACCACAAGGAAAGAAGAAACGGCATATACCTAGATCACGCGCACACAGTGATTTACTTGCATATATATATATATATATATATATATATATATATATATATATATATATATATATATATATATATATATATATATATATATATATACTGTATATATGTGTGTGTGTGTGTGTGTGTGTGTGTCGTGTGCTGTGTTATTTGTGTTAATAACTAAGCGATGACATTCACTGTTTCTCCTACCATGTTATAAGCCATCAAAAACTTACACTGTTTTTATGGTAGTAGAACCCTTCAATAACCCTACACTCGTCCCTCTCTAAGCCATCATTCGCCTCTCACTAAGCCAGTTTCATCTACGTCAAGGCCAACCCCTCACTAACCCAGCATAACTCCTCAATAAATCAACACAACCTTACTAACCCAGGACAACCCTCACTAACCCAGCAGAATCCCTCACTAACCCAGCAGAACCCCTCACTAACCCAGCAGAACCCCTCACAACCCAGCAGAACCCCTCACTAACCCAGCAGAACCCCCACTAACCCAGCATAACCCCTCAATAAATCAACACAACCTTACTAACCCAGGACAACCCTCACTAACCCAGCAGAACCCTCACTAACCCAGCAGAACCCCCTAACCCAGCAGAACCCCCCACTAACCCAGCAGAACCCCCCACTAACCCAGCATAACTCAATAAATCAACACAACCTTACTAACCCAGGACAACCCCACTAACCCAGCAGAACCCCTCACTAACCCAGCAGAACCCCTCACTAACCCAGCAGAACCCCTCACTAACTCCAGCAGAACCCCCACTAACCCAGCAGAACCCCTCACTAACCCAGGAACCTCACTAACCCAGCAGAACCCCTCACTAACCCAGCAGAACCCCTCACTAACCCAGCAGAACCCCTCACTAACCCAGCAGAACCCCTCACTAACCCAGCAGAACCCCTTACCAAGACAACACAGCCCATCACTAAGCCCTTTGTCTCTCCCACATAGGGCAGCAGAGTGGAGGAGGTGGAACAGTGGCTTCGTCGCGCGGTGGCTTTATGCCCAACGATCCACACGCCCACAAACATCTGGGTGAGTGATAAGGGAGGAGGGAAGGGATGGTAGAGGAGGGAGGGGAGAGGGAAGGGATGGGAGAGGAGAGAAGGGATGGGAGAGGAGAGAAGGGATGGGAGAGGAGAGGGCGGGAGATGGGATGGGAGGGGGGAGATGGGATGGGAGGGGGAGATGGGAGGGGGGGAGGAGATGGCAGGGGAGGTAAGGAGATGGGAGGGAAGGGAAGGGAGGGGAGAGGAGGGAGGGAAGGAGGGGGAGATTGGAGGGGACAGAAGGATAAGGAGAGGAGGGGAGGGGGAGATGGGAGGGAAGAGAAGGATATGGGAGAGAAGGGGAGGAGATGGGAGAGGAGGTGAATAGATGAGAGAGGAGGTGAGGAGATGGAAGGGGAGAGGAGGTGATGGATAAGAAGGGGAGGAGATGGAAGGAGGGAGGGGAGACGTCACTTACAGGTAGGCTTTGGGGCATCAATTTAGGAGGGTAGTTTATTGATTTGTCCATTAGTAAACCTGTTGAATACAATGTAATTCTACTATTCACACCCCCCAAGGTATAAATCAGTGTACTTTCATTTAGATATTTTCATTAATCACTACTGAAGGGGGTTCATTCCTTCTTCCACTAACTTCACCCACATAATTATTTTTTTTTAATATTTAACAAATTAATTAACAAGTTTTTTTTTATGATTACTGAAAAATAGAGGCATACAATTTTAGGGTGTGTCGGTGTGAGGCAATCTTAGACCTCCACGGACACACCGGAGGATCTTACTGTAAACTGACTTTGGATAATATCAGCTTTCACGAATTAGTTTTATATCTAATAATAGTGGAAGCTTACCATGATAGTATTGTGTCTACCATACAATCATTATCTTATGAATTATTACCAGTGGCCACAAAATTATGGTCATTATAGGTCATTGAAGAGTCTTAGTATGTCACCAGCGAGATGGATGTGTATTAGGGGTGGAGGGAAGAGCCATCGACTTCCCACCACTCCTGTGTACAACCAAAAAAGTATTTAGACCCCAGGATCCAGTCGAATAGAAAATGAGTGATCACCTCAGATGTGTTTATGTATCAGTTGGATTGGGTTGGTCTTTGCCTGATGTTTCATATTCTTTCCAGCACTTGGGGTTTCGATACTTTTTGGGTTGGCTGTACGTGCCAAGCTACGAACATAGAAAGTTAGATTTAGATACACAGATATACTCGACAATATTCCCTGGTGAGTGTTAGTCACAAGGACCCTCTTTCCCTCTCATCCCTTCAGGTCAACTGCTATTAGAACAGGACCGTGTAGAGGAGGCCGTCGGGGCGTGGTTGAGGGCCGCGTTGTTAGACTCTACGGATCACACTGCTGCCTTCAACGCCGCCACTGCCCTCAGGCTGGCCGGCAGGAACCAGCACGCCGAGACCTTCTACAGACGAGCGGTGCAGCTGCGGCCCAAGGTCAGAATTTAGTACACAAAGCTAAACGTAACAACTTATTTGTATATTTGATGTACCGCAAACTGTAGATTATATTCCATGATAACTAGTCTATTGGGCCCAGCCTTAACTAAATCCAGTGTGAGTGGGCCCCAGTTCCAATGATCTGGTTAGGATGGGGCTTAACATAAATGGACCTATTTAGGATATGGGCCCATTTGATCTACAACCAGACCCAATACATTAGATTTTAGTGCCAAAATGTTCTACTTATATGACATGCATAATATAAGTCCTTTTTTCTTTCCTTACACAGGATGTGTCGAGCCACCGGAACTTGGGTGCCATTCTACACTTGAATGGTAAACTAGACGAGGCGCGTAAGCACTACGACGAAGCCCTGGCTCTAGCCCCCGGCGATCCCCAGACCACCACCAACCTGCAGCGGCTGTCAGCACTCGTCAACAAGAAGGGCCTCTCCTAGTGGGCCTGGGGCAAGGACCCACGGGCTGTTGGTGTCGTGTGCAGTATTTCAGGATCCCCTCATATATCAGGAGCTCAATTTGTAGACGATCCCAGACGATAATGTCGTGCATTGGTTTCTGTGATGGATCCATAGTATTCCTGTTTATCCCGTGTGTAAGAAACTCTCAGAGAATGCAGAAGACGAGGACCAATGCAACTGTATGTCACCTCTACCTTGTTAGGAGATCAAGAGGAAAGAACAAGAATAACCGTGGGGTCACATCCGCGGTGACTAGCAACGAGTCATCAGAAATAAATATATTTACAAAACTTTTTTTAATAGATGCTACATTGCCCCTCCCCCTCCCCAATATATCCCACAAAGTCATTCACCAAGTTTTTAATACATCTTTAAATGCTTTACTATTATTTATTTTATAAGGTTTGCCACTGGGAACTGACAAGGGAGAAAGTCGAGCTAAGTACAGTAACTGAAGACTTGCCACTGACGTTTTTACTGTTATGATTTTATCTTTCAACCTCTGAAAATTTTCGGTTTTCTGGCGACGATACTTTCACCTGTACATATAACTACCCAGCCTTCCATAGTGGTCTTCATGTGGGTGTTCCTGTGACAGGAAGGACCAAGACCCTCACACTCCAACAACAAACTTCAACAGTCTAGTTCTTGGTGCGCCAGATGACGACAACACTGTGTCTAGGACTCTTGTTCTCAAAAGGGATTCCAGTTCTCCTGCATCGATGTCCATCCTGCTGAGGCGGTTCTCGGGAGGGTGACGTCACTCCCGAAGATAAAAATATTCCAAAGGTTCTTCTCTGTGTCCCTCTGTGGTAAACGGCCTATACATCAGTGTTCTGTGTGATATTTGTTAACATTTCCTTCGCTAATATTGCATCATTATCAACAATTAATCGCTTTCAACGTGAGTAAAAGATCCTTACAGAAATTGTTTATTCTCAAAGGTTAAAAAAAGGAACTTTCTGAACCTCTGTGGTCATTATTTTTTTCCATGGCCCCTTTACATCTCTCCTTAACGACACTCCCAGGAACAGCAAGAAACCCCAGTGAGATTAAGGTTAAAGTTACAGCGAATTATATCTTATATATTATACATATACTTGTCCAATTAAGTAAGGAGGAAGACTTATAAAGAAGTAAATGTAAAAGACATCGCTTGTACCATCGGCTCCAGAACTGCCCGTCAGCGTACACAAAATCCCTCATCAGATGAGGACACAAATCTTCTTCAACTTGAGGCTCGAGCACTTCTGGACACCCCGGCGATGTCAGATTTCTCTCAACCAAAAAATATTAAAAAAATATATAATCTGTGTCATATTTTGGACATTCCTTAACATCAGTCTGTGATATTTGCCAAGAAAAAGATTATTCCATGACATTGTGGCACTAGTTTTAACCCAACCACTGTCACCACTACTTCACGTGTTGTATAATACCCATTTATCAAGAAAGTGTCATTATTTTTTCTCTCTTTCTGTTTTCTTAAAAGATCAACGATGGTGAAGACCAGAATGTAACGAGATAATGTCAACTTCCACTAACATAACCTTGTTGTGCGTGTGTGTGTATGTGTGTGGCCAGCAGCGAGGCGGCCTGTGTACAAAAAACTCCATCATAATGCTCCGGCACCAAGATATATGACGGGAAAATGTCATCCTCAGAATTTCTATCTCTTTTCTTCGTCATCTTCTTCCTCTCCTCTTCTCTTACTGTGTCTACCAGGATTTTTTGACACTTGCAGTATACCAGTGCAAAACCTTACAGTGGTCCCTGAAATTTTATGATATTGCACTAAATGGCTTTTGAAAGTGAATAGCATTGCAAGTAAATGGCCTTATGGTGAGCGATTTCTTTTTTACCCGGATTATTCTGCAAAGTCTTTAAGATTTAAACTAACTCCGTTTTTTATATAGAACCGGTTTCTGTAGTTTTTAAACCCAAGAAGTTTAAGGTAATAAAAAAATAAAACTTTTAGTCGTCTAGTCAACTCTTAAGCTCCTTTAGTGATTTTCTTTGCTTTTCAATAAGTCACCAAGTCGGTAGGTTTTGCTGTGACTCACCACTTACTCAAGTAGTCGATCGACCTCGATAGTAATTCACTCAGCCTAGTACTACTGGTAGGCGTAGACACACCAATACTCATAGACTCATTTTCCGACTTTGTAGTGAGACTCACCGGGCTATTGTAGTGAATAAGTGACTCATCAGGTGACTTGGAACAATCAGTATCTATTAAGAGCTCACTGGACCTCAGGTTAGGGAGTTAAGTTGCCAGCGGCTTCACTCTCTCACTCACTCGCTCGCCACGCCTCTGTTGACTCATGTGATGAACCCCTCGAACCCTCATCCAGCTCGACTCATTAAAAAAAAAAGAGGAGGAAGAGAAGGAGGAGAAATAAACCTCCTAGATGAAGAGAAGATGTGAGTTTATAAGACTTTGTAATGACTGCCTAAGGATCATTTTCTCGTCATTATGTGAAATCTATTGTGTGTGGGGAAGAGACACGGTGACACATACTATCTCATGGTGGAAGGTTGATAAGTCGAAGAATACAATTTCTTATTATTACAGAGCTGATGTGTCGGTGTATGTCTGAGTACGTCGTCGGTGTCATAAAACTAAAGACATGTGTATAAGCCATGTGTGCAGCCAGATGATAAGTGATCCCTCATTAAAGCAAAAAATAAAAATAAAAAATAATAATAAAAAAAGAATCATTATGTCACCCCTGAAAGGCAGAATCTGTACATAGCCTGAAACAAATATATCGATTTTTTTAAGGACCTCCCCCCCTCCCCTTTTCATGAATCTCCCCCCTCCCCCCGAGCACCCTTCAATGACGCCCCCTCTCTCTGTCTTTCTCTCTCTCTTTATCCCTCTTGCCATTTATCCCTTCCTCCTTCAATCACCCCCACCCCTTCCTCTCCTTCCTACATTCTCTCACCTCCCCCTCCTCCCCTTCCTGCCTTCTCTCTCCCCTTCCTCTCCCTCCTCTGCTCCCCTTCTGGTCTAAGATGTGCCTAAGCCTCTCACCATGACAAGCCATATTTGTGACGAGTTCTGCGGCTTTTGGCCTTACAACACCAGCTAATACGGTCAATTTTCCCATAATTTGTATCAAGAGGACGAAAACTGTTAACAAACGTGACCGTAAACCACAAGACATCAACGTCAAGTCGAGAATCGTAGGTCATCAGCTTCTCATTGGTTCCCTTGTATTGAATGGCAGCCAATGAGAAGAGCAACATAATGACTTACTTGGAAATGACTTATTTTTTGTATTTTCGACCGTATTGCTGTGTGACTGAAGGGTGAAAGTCGCCGATCCGGCTAACAACCAGTATAAAGGAGTCGTATTATACATTGGTGTTTTTACCCAAATAATAATGTGCCGATGATAGTGATATGTTATAATTAATATCAAATATATTATATGTGTTCATTAACTTGTGTGTATTGCTATCCTTTAGAGCGGTCACAGCCGCGGCAGAATAGGAGGGTTGATCAAAAGGTAATCACCAATCAAAAGGGAGGGTTGTGAATGGCTAATCGGCAGGAGGCAAGGTCTATGAATAGTTCATCAGCAACTAAAGGGCTGGTGCGCGTCACCAATCACGGATCAAATGATGTGAATTGGTAATGGCATAAAAAATGTACCTAAATGGTCAATCACAACAAATAAAAGGGACCACTAGTGGGGATTACACACACGAGTACCTGAACCTGCACCGCACTGTCAACAGCATCATGACTTATACATATATATACATATGTTACACCCCGTTTGTGAAGCTGCACAGTCCATGAAGTGAGCAGTCATTTTGCCCAGGTCATAAAATGGCCTCTCAAACTAACGGGTATAAAATACATATACAGTATATAGATACACATCAGTATATATGATTATCCTTATATACCCACATTCTACACAAGCCTCGAGAGGTCATTAACGTGAAGGAGACATTGACCAGACGAAAGCATTAACCTGGAAGACATCCTAACCAATACACGGTGTTAATCTGGAGGAGATGTTGATATTGAGGGGATATTGATCTAAAGTGATCATTAACCTAGAGAGACGGAGAATAAACTGAAAGATAATAATATTGTGTAAGGAATATTGATCAAGAGAGAATATTGATCCGAAAGGAAGATTGATAAGGACACTATATGATACGACAGGTATAGTACAGTATATTGATCTTTTGGGCATAATGACCTGATGTATGCAGATGTCTACAATGAAAGAGGTGAGAAGTATCTAGAAGAGAGAAGTGAGGAGTATCTAGAGCAAAGAGGTGAGGAGTATCTAGAGTAGAATAGTGTGCCAGTTGGTGAGAGGAGAGATAACGTAATACTAAATGAGAGAAAAGTACCTACAGAAGGACTACAAAAACAAAGTCAGAAAAATATAAGAAATTTAGTAAGATTGACTCCACGGTGTTGCTACCTTTACCTCCTGTGGGCGGAGGCGAAGGGGACACAAGCAATACCATGACCCGTGTAATTGACAGTTTCCCTCATCCTTCATACGCTCCCCACTACAGGTGATTTATGATCGCAGATTGAGAAAATAACATAAATGCCTATAACTAAAATAAAATATTGTATTGTTTTTATTACTTACCGTCACCCAAAGAACATCTGTGGAAAAATGAACGCAATTGATAGACAGACAGATGGTTGATAAGTGAAGATCATGTACACTTTACTTAAGTTAATACTGAACGTAAGTATTTTATGTTAACATTATCACTGTAGTGTGTTATTGGTCATTACAAACAAGCGCAACGATCAGTTCATAACACAACACCTTGTTCCGAAGCTCCGCCCACCCATAACGTCATATTCAAGGCCTCACGAAACACCAAGGATTCGAATCTCTTCCTGTAAGAAACTCCGAATCAATAGTCAGGGAGTTGTGAATCTAATTTGTCAGTATCCTTATCACTGTTAACCAATTCAGTGTTATTGTCTTGTCAGTGAGGCGGGTAAAGCACGTGTGGTCACTCACACTGGCTCATACCGCGACGATCTCCTTCCAGGCCGGACCACCTCGCTCTTGGGTCTTACTGAGGGTCTCTCACATCGAAATGCACGTGATTGTGGAGGTAGTGCTCATACAGAAATACTGGAAGTGCTGGAAAATGATTGTGATGGTACTGTGAACATTGGTGGTGGTGGTGCTGAGGAAGTGACGTGTGGTGCTGGAGAATATATCATGCTCCTGGGGACGTGATTATGTGATAGTGAAGGGGAAGTGATTATGTGATGGTGCTGGGGAAGTGATTATGTTATGGTGCATGGAAAGTGATTGTGATAGTACTGCGGAAATTGACTGGTGGTTGCTGCTTATGGGGAAGTGGTGTATGGGGGTGCTGGGAAGGTGATCGTAATGGTGGTGTTAGGAAGTTGATTGTCGAGGTAGTGCTCATATGGAAAGGATTATAGAGGCTACGGTGTCTGGAGGTGGTGGTGCTGGGGAAGTGACTGGTGGTGGTGCTGGGAAAGTGACTTGTGGTGGTGCTGGGAAAGTGACAAGTGATGCTGGGGAAGTGCCTGGTGGTTGTGCTGCTGAGGAAGTGACTGGTGGTGTTGCTAGGGAAGTGAATGGTGGTGCTGGGGTAGTGACTGGTGGTGGTGCTTGGAAAGTGACTGGTGGTGCTGGAAAATAAATGGTTATGGTCGTGGTGGTGCTGGGAAAGTGGCTGGTGGTGGTGCAGGGGAAGTGTCTGGTGTTGACGGTATGGGGAAGTGACTGGTGTTGGCGGTGCTGGGGAAGTGTCTGGTGGTGCTGGGGAAGTGATTTTGTGCTTAGTTATCAATTTGTTTAGCTTAGGGAAGGTATGGTATTAGGTATTTTATATATTTTTATAATTGTTGGTCTAAGATAATTTAAATTAGCATAGTTTGTATGTTAAGGTACTATATCATAAATGTTAGTAGATTCAAGGTAATTTGTATAGTTAACAAGATAACAGGTTTTCATAATTTCTAACAAGGTTGATAGAAGAGGTCTGTCCACCCCTGACCCAAGTACGACTCGGCTCCCGACGTCACAGGCTAGACAGTGAATCTCCACCTGCGCGGGAACACCTTCTCATCCTCCTCTATAGACCTTAGTTTCTATGATGCCGGATAAGATATTAGCAATTTGCATTGTTTATAATAAGAAACTGGTAAATTTTTTAGCTCAAGATACTAGTAGTTTGCATAGCTTCTAAAAACAAGATTACCCTAAAACCATTGTATAAACAGTATATATTTGTACTCGTACTTGATTATACATTTCAGAACAGAGGTGTGGTGCCTGAGTTACAAGGCGTCAGGTTCGACTCCAGGACTGACTAAAGACGATGACCAAGACGAGGCACAGACGCAGGGCTCTCAAAGTTTCGTATGTGAAACCTTACAAATTTTAATTGTTTAAGAAAAGAAAGATTACCCAAAGGTTAGGTTTTTTGTCTCATGCTTCAAGTGTATTGTGTAATGTGGGTGGCGGACTGCTTTGTGGTCTGTGGGTAACCAAGTCTTTTGTGGTGTGTTGTTGGTGGAATGTACAGTATGGTGGTTGGTGGTGTGTACTGTATGGTGGTGTGTGGTTGGTGGTGTGTACTGTATGGTGGTGTGTGGTTGGTGGTGTGTACTGTATGGTGGTGGAGTATATTTTATGGTGTTGTGCGAGTGGCAGAGTGTATTGTATAGTGGAGTATGGGTAGGGGAGTGTACTGTATGGTGGTGTACAGGTGGTGGAGTGTACTGTATGGTGGTGTACGGGTGGTGGAGTGTACTGTAAACCGGAGTATGGATAGGGGAGTGTACTGAATGGGTGGAGGAGTCTACTGTATGGTATTGTACTGTGGGGGTGTGTATTATATGGTGTTTTATGGGTCACAGTATACTGTATGGTGGTCTATGGGTGGTGAAGTGAACTGTATGGTGTTGTACGGGTGGCACAGTGTGCTCTATGGTGGAGTACGGGTGGCACAGTGTACTCTATGGTGGAATACGGGTGGCACAGTGTATTGTATGGTGGTGTACTGGTGGCACAGTTTACTGTATGGTGGTGTACAGAGGGGAAGTGGGCTGCATATGGTGTATGGGGGCCGGAGTGAACTACGTTTTTGCACAGAAGGCAGAGTGTACCGTATTGTGGTGTATATTGGCACAGTGTACAGTATGGTGGTGTATGGGTGGCACAGTGTACTCTATGGTGGCTTACGGGTTGCCGTATGTACTGTATGGTGGTGTACGGTTAGTGGAGTGTACTGTATGGTGGTGTGGAGTGTTGGTGTACAAAGGGCAAAGTGTAATGTGTTGTGGTGTGGGGGTAGCACAGTGTACAGTGAGGTGGTGTATACGTGGTTGAGTGTACTGTTTGGTGGTGTACGGTTGGTGGAGTGGACTCTGGTGGTGTATGGGTGGCAGAATGTGCTGTATTATGGTGTAGGGGTGGCATAGTGTACTGTATTGTGGTGTAGGGATGGCAGAGTGTATTGTATTGTGGTGTAGGGTGGCAGAATGTGCTGTTGTGGTGTAGGGTGGCAGAATGTGCTGTTGTGGTGTAGGGTGGCAGAATGTGCTGTTGTGGTGTAGGGTGGCAGAATGTGCTGTTGTGGTGTTGGTGTTGGGGTGGCAGAGCATATTGTATGGTGTTGTATGCGTGGAACAGTGTACGGTAGGGTGGTGTATGGGAGGTACAGTGTAATCTATAGTGGTGAACGGGTGCCGCAGTGTATTGTATGGGTAGTGGAGTGTACTGTATGGTGGTGTACGGGTGGTGGAGTGTACTGTACTGTGGTGTACGGGAAGCGGAGTGCATTGTTTGGTTATGTGTGGGTGACACAGTGTACAGTTTGGTGGTGTATGGTGGCGGAGTGTAATGTATGGTGGGGTATGGGTGGTGGAGTGTACTCTACGGCGGTGTAGGAATGAAGTGTACTGTAAGGTGATGTATGGGTGGCCCAGTATACTGTATGGTGTCTGGGTGGTGGAGTGTATACTGTATAGTGGTGTGCCGGTGTCAAAGTGTGGTGTCTGGCGTTGTGCAGGTGGCACAGTGTATTGTACAGTGGTGTACTTGTGGCGCTTTGTACTGTAGGTTGCTGTTCGTGTGGCGTAGTATACTGTATGGTGGAGTACGGGTGGCGGAATGTACTGCATGATAGTGTAAGCTTGGCGAAATGTATTGTATGTTGGTATACGTATAACGGAGTGTACTGTACGATGGTGTGTGGGTGGTTAAGTGTACGATATGGTGGGGCAATGGATTGACTAGTGCCTTGTTGCACTTGTCTGGTTGCGTCAAATTCATCAATAAGTTCCATCCTAATTACAGTTTTAAGGGTTCTTTTTGACAGACCCAGATTGTATTAGTGTCTTTGTTAGACGTGAGTTTGGCGAGGGCATCAACTGTCATGTTCTTTTGAGGCCTATGTGTGAGGGG